CATGCAGAGGCGTGTAGCCCCACTTATCAACTGCATTCACCGAGGTTCCATGCCTAATCAACAATGCAGCAACGTCCACATGGCCGTAGGAGCTGGCGTTGTGCAGTGGAATGAGACCACCTTTGTCCTGAGCATTAACATCAGCGCCCGCAGCGAGAAGGAACTCCACCACCTCGAGATTGTTATAGCCTGCGGCAAGGTGCAAGGGTGTGGAGTTGCGACCCGCAGTGTCGCGGCAATTAATGTTCTCAGGGGTGATGAGGCGTTGAATTTTGGCGAGATTACCACGTTTAGCGGCTTCAAGGACTGCAGTATCACCACGTAGAAGATCGTAGACAAGGCTGTCAGTGTCCTAGATGGATACGATAGATGAATGTTTGAAAAGAAACCCAAGCTATAGATAAATCAAAAGTAAAAGTCGAATAAACTTCTTTCTCTCCCCCAAACAACTGAAAAGATTGAGAAAATGGAGGAAAATAGTGGAAAACCAGCATTTTATAAAAGGAAAAGAGCGCCCTAAGGATTTGCTGATGACCCATCATCTTGTGGCGGAATTTGGAAACCAAGACACCTGACGACTTTTGGAGGATCGAAGTAAAACTGGCAAAGCAGTCCTCCACGAAACAGTTTTAACGGTAAGGCACTTCAAGGAGCCTAGACAGATACCTGGTACGCTTTCTTGAAGCCACCTTCTCAGACCTGTACAATCCAGACTGGTTAATCATGAAAAACAGCCATCCCTTGACCCCAAGAATTGTGCCAAAGGCTAGAAAAAAATCTGAAGTTTGTTGTCATCGATTTCCTCCTTAAGGACAATACCACACCTCAAAAAAGAAAAAAAACTTCATTAAAGTTACTGAAATGAAAGGGTGGGAGGACATGCCTTAACGAGGTCGAGCGGTGTGTGACCATCTCGATTTTTGCGGCTCGGATCGGCACCGTGTTTGAGCAGAAGACGACAAATGTCGAATTTGCCCTTTGCAGCGGCCTCATGAAGGGGTGTGAAACGCCAGAGATCGGTGACATTCACGTTGGCACCGTGTTGAATTAACAACTCCGCCACCTAAAATGATATGAGGCATAACAGTCAAGTAACGAGTTTGCCTTTATCTTTTGTACAAAAATGATACTCTCAAGTTACCGAAATGAGGAGGGATGGGTGGTGGAATGGGCAAATAAAAGCTAGATTAGCAGATGCCAAGCTGCAAGGAGATGTGTCATGCACCAGAAAGGCGAATGGACAAAGATGCCGGTTTTGCTGTCACCATGATCGGAGTCCTACCTTTGCATGTCCATATGAGCAGGCATTGTGCAATGGCACCAGACCTCCTTTGTCTTTTGCATGTACATCTGCACCAAATTTGAGGAGCATCTCTACAACTGCCAATCGGTTGTATCCCGCGGCGAAGTGTAGTGGTGTTGAGTGGCGTCCATCGATGTCTCGACAATTAATGAGATCTGTGGGTGGTTTACCATCTCCCTCAGGACTTCGTTGATAGGCTACAACAAGGCGACAGACCAGATCGACGTCACCTGCCTTAGCAGCTTCTAGAAGTTGAAGGACAACGCTGGCCCATGCCGCATTACTGTTGCTTCCGTTGGATGGGATAGAAGATGAGGAGGGGATAGAAGTGATGGCGGTAGCAGCGGCAAATGACTTTTTCGAAGGAACTTGAGAGGCGCTTACACTTCCATGAACGTTGCTTCCAGACGGTTGGGGAGTGGATCTACCCGAGATAGCGAAGAGTTTCTTTTGGTCGATAGAGGCAGAGGATTTGGTATCGGAGAAGGGAGCTAATGATTGGTAAAACAGCGTTTTATAATTATTCAAGAGATTAATCTGCCCACTGGACTACTTTTAGCCAAACTGAAGGAACACTTTCAATCCCTGTGTAGAGGGATCTTCAGTCAAAAGTGCTTTTTAAGCATTCAAAGAGTTTAGTAATCAATTGGAATTTGAATGCTCACAACTACAAAAATCAAAGTGAACTGAAGCAAACACATATAAAGGGACCGCTCTGATCCTAGTGCTTATCAAGCAAGTGGTTGACTCATTTCCTACTTGTGTGAAACGAAACAGATGAAAATTCGAATGCCTAAGAGGCATCAGCCATTCACTCACGGATAAAGGGACTT